TCTTCCGCGTCATCTGAATCATACTCCTCTTCCGAATCGTAACCGTAGCAATCATCGCCCACCTCTTCACTGCTGACAAGGTTTCCGCAGCACGGAAACTCCCACATATGGTACTCCCATGGCCTATCGGACTGCTCGTCTCGGATTTCTGTCTCTTCGGGATTCGTGCACTTTATGACGCAAGATTTTATGGTGTTGGATGACTCGCGATAGGTATTGTGACAGCGAACGCAGTGCTTTGGCTTCGAGTCGGCTTTGACAAGAGGCATGAGGACGGCTTTGAGTACTTGAATCGTTTCGGGAGGTGCATTGTCAAGGGAATTGGAAAGAGCTTCGACGAGATTGGCAGTGTCGCAGTTTTTTAGGGCTTTCTTGAGGTCCTTTACGTCCTTTATGATAGACCCCGAAGAGGCGGCTTTGCCGTCGGCGTTAATCTTTCGTTTTCTGTTCAAAATATTGGGGTTGAATAACGCGCATCAGTATCTGTAGTAGTACATACTTTGTGTCCGCTGGCATGTTTGTACCGGGATGTGGAGCGCCTGGTGGTGGTGGTTGTGGGCCGATTGTCGCAAGTTGGAGGCCGTTTATATAGACGTCAGTCACGAGACGCGCCTCTGACAGTTTGGCTAGACTCTATAGACTCGGAGTTGCAATTTCAATTTCAAGCTCCGTGCGCAATCGGGCTTTCCTCCGTTAGTATAAAACCTAGAGCGTTGCTCTAAGCAGCAGTCAGGATGGTCTGGTGCCATCAGAGCCACCAGAGACTGTGGTAGAGCATTCTGAAAGTGCTCCGGCAATATCAGCGCTTGATACCAGCGCAACTCTAGCCTTGTCTTTGGATCCTCCCACCGAGTCCCGCCAGGGCGAATGCAGGTTCTAGTTCTAACCCTCGTAGTTTTGGCTGAAGTATTCCCCAGGTTTTAGACAAACCAGACACCATCTCCCCAATAACTTGGGGCGCTTTGAGCCTTTCTGTAAACCTCTAGTCATTTTGCACTGTATCTGTCAAGGCAGCTTCTTCATGGATGTATGCGCCTTTACGTCGTTACCTTCTTCTACGAAACATAAAGGCTAAGGTTTGGACTGGGCTATGTCCGAAACAGAGTAGAGATTGGATCAAAAACAATTTCGATAAAATATGTTAAGGTAATCTTAACGAGTTTCATCATGAAGTGAACTCAGTAACAGGAATATATCTAGACTGTTGAAATATGCCCGCGTTGTCTTCGAATTGTCGAATTCAGTGCCTTCTCTCTTAACCATATAGTGAAATGCAGAAAATGCACATGATAACTAAGTTATATGACTTATTTATACACTTTGGCTACGCTCTACTTGGCGAAGCTTAAGAACGCGTAAAAAAAAATCTCTCCCTGAGTGCTACCGAATTACTACAGTAAGTTAACCGTGAGCTTATTAAAATTCAAGCATATATTAGAGCAGTACGCACCATCTCTTCTTCAGCTATTCCTTTCCGCGTCCCGTCATATTGCATGTACAAATGTTCTTATTCCTCCCAGAGTAGTCAATTCCTTTCTCCTACTCCTTTTCCTCGTGCCAAAGACTAAATACCTTATGCAGGGCCGAAATTTGCAAATTCCGGGCCACAAGCGCCAGAATCCCGCAGGTATGTGAACGAAATTTAAGATAGTACTGCATATATGGCACCCCTTAGTGAGATTTTTGAAGTAACACTCTCTACAATAGAATACATGATATGCCAGCTGTTCATGGCACTTGATCAATGTATTATTGTTCAACCGCACATTCTTTGCGGGCGTTTGGGGTCGGAAATTCAGTCGTGCAATAATAGCGATGTTTTTCGAGAGATTTTGCAACACGCAGTGGCATGTACTTATTGCACAGGCTTGAAAAGCCTCAACCTAGTACCATCATATAATTTTAGCTGGATACAACGACTCACAAGCGCTTTTATTGCCGGTTTGTTGTGGATCGAGCTTATCATGCAGGTTTCAAAATTACGCATTGTTCTCTCACTCAAACCACTCACCTGACCATTATATAGCTTAAAAATGCCCTTTTCAGTCTGCTTGCCATTTTTTTCCATTTTTCTTTCTGGTAAACCATGTGAGCTGGGCTCGCAAACAGGGCAGGGCCGAAAATTAAGCGCTCGGCGACTGGCAAGTCACGGCCGAATGTCGGCCCTGCATAATGTCCCTACTGTAGTATTTGACCGACGTAGGATCTGCGGTATGCTTTGCGGTATTGCATAAAAAATTATGATATTCATCCCAGTTCTCCAAGTCATCTGGGTCAGGTAGATCTTCATTGCTAGCTAGCCTGCCACAGCATGGAAACGTCCACATGTAGTACTCCTAGGATCGGTCTGAGTACTTGTCAGGGTAACTCGTCTCCTTTAGCTTTACACACTTGACGATGCAAGACTTTGTAGTATTAGAGGACTCGCGGTAAGACCTATGACAGTGGACGCAGTGCTTCAGGCCTGTAGAGGCTTGAATAAAGGGCACGAGCATGGATTTGAGTACCCGGATGGTTTCGGGCGATGTAGCATCGAGAGAATTGGAGAGCGCTCGGAGAAAGTCGTCGCCGTTGCAGCAGCTCAAAGCCTCCTTAAGATCTCCCATGTCCTCTATAATCGAGCCAGACCCAGAGGCGGAGACGGAGCTCTCATCTGTGCTGATCTTCCGTTTCCTAATCCAAAGGTTGGGGTTAAGTGGCTTGCAACCTGGTCTGAAACACCTACTTTGCAGTATCTTTTGCCATAATTCGGGCTAGAATGGAAATTTTGCGGTCGTTCTTGAAGAGTGGCCTGTGTTAATCACGGTTAGACCATACAAACGTTGATCAATCGTGATGACATAGGGTGGCTTGTGCGTTAGACGCCACGGTGGCCGTGTGCCAACCATTCCTCTAGGCCATCAGGAGAGTTTGGAACAACGCTAGAATACATTAGATTGACAATGTGTGACAGTTACATAGGAGCCTTAGCCCTGAACCCCATACTGAACAAACCGGTATGATAAGTGCTTCAAGCGAATGCTATAGACATCAGAGTCGTAGTTCACGCCGGAAATACACTATTCACATAATCAATCAAGCGGATCCCTACTTTTACTTTAGAGAGCGATTAATCCAGACAGATTCAGAAGCGGAGAGTAAATCAGCCTATTTATAGCTATCATCTAGCATTTAGCGTGGTCATCTGGCTGGTAACCCATCACGCGAGAAGATAACTTACGATTTCGTCTTTAGTTTCTCCTTCCTGCACCCCGTCATCTTGCATGTACGAACGTTCTTATTCTCTCCCGAATAGTCAATTCAATTCTCCTCCTTTTTTCTCTGATCCCAGGGGCTATAATATTTGATCGACGTAGGGTCCGTTGTATGCTTCGCCGTATAGCATACCTCCAAGTCGGTATAAGTAAGGCCCCCACCCGAGCCGTCTAAGTCTTTCGAGTCACTCTGAGAGCTTTCCCAGCTGTCTCCATAGTCACCGCACTCATATGTAAGGTTACTGACTAGCCTTCCACAGCACGGAAACCTCCACATGTAGTCTTCCTGTGGCCGATCCGAGTATGGGTCTGGGATGTTTGTTCCCTCTGGCTTTGTACACTTGATTACACATGAGTGAACGGTGTTAGAGCACTCATGGTAGGACTTGTGACAACGGACGCAGTGCTTTGGGCTACTGTCGGGCTGGATGAGGGGCGTGAGGACGGTTTCAAGCGTTTGGATGGACTCCGGCGATACATCGTCAAGCGAATTGCAGAGAGCTTGGACAAAATCAACGGCATTACAGCCTCTCAGAGCGTTCTTTAGATTTTTTGTAGTATTTGACGCCGAGCCAGACCCGGAAGCCCAGGCGACGTTGCCATCGATGTTGATCTTTCGTTTTCTGTTCAAAACGTTAGGCTTGGGTGGCCTCATCCAGATCGACGGTATGTACTTTGTATCTATTGGCATCCTGAGACTTGTAACAGCAGATGATTGTGGGTCAGAGGGAGATTTGTGCACTGATGCTACGATCACCATTTGTTTATATAGATGGCGAAACGTCAGTAGTGGTGTTTTGGTTAGACTGCGGTGGCTGTGCGCCATTCCAAACGCCACCCCAAATTAGGTCACGTGGGATATATGCGTGTCGGTCCGGCGGTTTTCTGGCTCATTTAGCAGCTCGGGTGATAATTGGGTGATGTATGTTTGAGTACTCCGTAGTATACTCCAGAAATTGATGAAATTCTCATACTCAGTAGCACATTACACTGTAGGTGTGATGTAGGGCTGTTTGATGGATATATGCGCGCCCCCTCCGGTTGTCGAGAGTACCTGGGCTGGTCATAATTATAACACGATGAGCATAGCATGATAAGCTCAGGGTTTTCTGCAGCTACTTGAATGGTTTTATGTATATTTTACATGTTAATAGATGAAGAGGTAGCAGACTGCTTGTCTTAGGTACAGCGGGTTTAACACGAGGCAGCTTCCACTCCACGCGGTTTTCAACGGCCGATACCTGGGTATATGCGTGCAACATATCTCAATCGCTTCTATTCAACGCTGTTTGAGAGGCTGGCTTGGGCCTGTGCCGAAAAAAATGAGATCTGCATATGGTCCCTTGGAGTTTGAGGTTCTCAACATGTTACTATGTAAAAACTAGTGATTTTGGGCTTAAAAATGAGCAAAAAACGTATGACGAGGGTGGGATTCGAACCCACGCTCCGAAGAACCAGATTTCATCGCTCAGAATCTTCCAGAAGCCTTAGTCTGGCGCCTTAGACCGCTTGGCTACCTCGCCTTGTTTCAGCCGGGCAGTTTTAAAACTCACAATCACTACCATGCTCATGCCTAGCACACGGCTTGTCCGAGTTTCCACGCGTCTTTGTTATCTCTTGGATGCCCAAGAACTCCGCTTGCGGCCGGCTTTCGGATTTGATCACCGAGAGCTAACTCGGAATGTCAGACCTTCAGCGTTTTATTCGGTGCTCAGGCACTAGCACACTAACCATTTCATACCCCTCAAAAAGGCCACATATAGACCATTAATCATAGTACTATAAGTTCGCTTGCATTATGGCCGTGAGGCGTAATGGAGCGGGCGAGAGGGCCAGAAAATTGACCGGCGCTTACGGAACCGGAATTTCAAATTTAGGCGCTGAAATTCCGAGATACGTAGCTGAGCCTTCCAAAGACTTCTTTTTCATCACCTTGTTAAACTAACGTTCTCCCTTATCATCACTCCCAGAACATCGCTCGCTCTCGCACTTAGAACTTATCATACTCCCCTGTAAGCACAGAAGCATGTCGGAATTCAGCGAGTTGTATGCAACGGCAGGTAAGCTAGGGAGACGCGGGTTTCACACACGTATTTCATAACCTTTGACATAGATTTTTGTCTCATCCCGATGGGAACCAATGATCCTTCGGTGAGTCCTTTTGACCCACATCCCAGAATGAAAATAAAGCAGGTTGTGTATATAGGTTGGTCCTCAAATTGCCGAGGTACGTAGCCAACCCCTCTGCATTCAGTCAGGTGATGTATTCGTGCTATCCAGTGCCAAAGAATCTTGGAGAAATCGGGTCTTACGTACAAGGTTTGGATTTGTCTACTTCAGCCCTCGCTGTAACTCATCGCCGGATCGCCATCCAGCTGCAGTAAGTCAACCTAAATTGCCCGTTTGCTTTGGCATCGTTGACGGATGCTAAACAATAATAGTGGGTACGGAACGAACCTAGGTGTGTGTAGTATATAGCGCTTGGGACGCAGTATACTGAGCAGTCTATTTGATTTTATCAGAAGGCCCCTGGTCAGCTGTATGCAAAGCAATTCATGACTGCCACGCTGCAGTTCATGCGTTAGGTGAGAATACGAGCTGGACTATATATATCTCTTGCATAATATCTTTCAACTCAGGGACGCCGCGAGTGGCTACAGACATCCGGATTGGTACGCGCGTGGACAAGAAGATCGCACCTGGAACGGGCAATGATGGGAAGGTGCAAAGGGTGGTCGATATCCTCGCGACGGACAAGAAGTAGGCGTTACTAGGCTCGATGTTATCGTCGAATGGCGTGGAAACTACGTCTTGTTTCAAGTTTGCCAGTATTAACTGGTTGAGTTTATAACGAACTGCAGCTCAGACGAATATATAAGTTCCAGTTAGGAAGCTAGTATTTTTGAGCAAGTTTATTGACCCAGCTAGTAGATACCCAAACTCCATTGCTTGTTAAGTATCTCAACGCTCGATTCTTTCTGGCCTTCGGTTGGAGCTAGTAACCATGCGTTATCCGCCTGGTTCTAGGCCAAATATTTTGGTTGTGAATGGGGATGGAATACGGGCGTCTCTAGGTAGGATAAAAAAATTCTACTAGTGCAGCTAGGCCTTTATAGATGTGATGCTGCATGAGTGTTCTCTGGTGGTCACTACGTCGACTAGGAGCTATGGTGACATGTTTGTTCCTCATTGACACGCCTGATCCCTCTCACGTGATCGTCGCGTTCCTGTAAACAACCGCCGCCGTCTGCCGCAATTCATCATGGCGCTCCAGGTAATCTCAAGAGATATCAACTACACTGAGGAGAAAGGTGATAGTTTAGCTATAGGTACTTGGATATATGACTAACGCCCGGGTTCACAGAAAAAATTACGGACTTCTTCAACAAGTTCGAGGGCAATACCGAGAAAGATGTTACTCGCAACCTGGATGAACTCGACTTGAACGAGGAGGGCGAAGAGGGCGGTGCTGCGCCTGAAGGGTTCTTGAGGATGAAGTACGGGAAGCAGTTGGTGAGTAGCTACGGTCGAGAGGTTCATGGGCTGGGCTAACCTGGGTCTTTGGGCAGCAACGAATCGCGAATAGGCAGCAATCTACGCTTGTAATTGAGCTGGAGGATATTCTCGAGGTGCGTATCCCGCTTATAGGTTGTGAACTATATGCTTATGATGCGATGGGCAGTATGAACGCACAGGGGCCGAGCTCGTTGCACGGATCAAGTCTAATGTTCGACGATACACCTCGCTGTTTTGCGAGGTCGTTGATGGTCTGACGCCGGAAGCTACAAGGGATATCACGTATATGGATGATGTGCTCGATACGATCATGTCACAACGAGCCCAGGTGAATGCGGAGAACGAAGAAGCTGGCCAGCCTGGGTTTCCGGCTCAACTCTTGAGGCGCTAGTAAGTTCTAACGCCTGTTCCATTGTGGATCATTTACTTATGAATACACCAGCGACCTCTACTTCCAACCCCTCTCTTCAGACGTCGCCCTAGCCGTACGCGACGTACGCGGCAAACACCTCGGACAACTCATCACCGTACGAGGCATCGTCACGCGCATCAGCGAAGTCAAACCCCTCCTCCTCGTCAACGCCTACACCTGCGACAAATGCGGCGCCGAAATCTTCCAAAACATCTCCCAAAAACAATTCACTCCGCTCACCGACTGTCCGTCCAACGCGTGCAAAGATGGCGTCGGACGCGGCGCGTTGCACATGCAGACCCGCGCCAGTCGGTTTAGCGCGTTCCAGGAAGCTAGGATCCAAGAAATGGCGGATCAGGTTCCAGTCGGGCACATCCCTCGGTCGATGGTCGTGCATTTGTTTGGAGGACGGACGAGGGCGATGACGCCTGGAGATGTTGTTCATGTTGGAGGCGCGTTTTTGCCGACGCCGTACACTGGGTTCCAGGCTATTCGCGCTGGGCTGTTGACGGATACGTATCTCGAGGCGCATTCGATTATTCAGCTTCGGAAACAATACGACGAGATGGAGGTGACGGGCGAGATCGAGATGGGTATCGAGCGGTTGAAGCGCGATCCGGCGTTGTATAACAAGCTGGCGGCGAGCATCGCACCCGAGATTTATGGCCACGAGGACGTGAAAAAGGCGTTGTTGTTGCTCCTGGTTGGAGGAGTGACCAAGAACGTTGGAGACGGCATGAAGATTCGTGGGGATATCAATATTTGCTTGATGGGCGATCCTGGTGTGGCCAAGTCGCAGCTATTGAAGTATATTTCCAAGATTGCGCCGCGGGGCGTTTATACGACTGGAAAGGGTAGTTCGGGTGTTGGGTTGACGGCTGCTGTGATGAGGGACCCGGTGACGGATGAGATGGTGCTTGGTGAGTGAGTCGTTTGAACTGATTGAGCGAGGTCTGAATGATTGCGCAGAGGGCGGTGCACTCGTCTTGGCCGATAACGGTATTTGTTGCATCGACGAGTTTGACAAAATGGAAGAGTCGGATCGTACAGCAATTCACGAAGTAATGGAACAGCAGACGATTTCTATTTCTAAAGCTGGGATCACCACCACCCTCAATGCACGCACCTCGATCGTGGCTGCAGCAAACCCGCTATATGGACGGTACAACCTCAAGGTCTCGCCTGTAGAGAATATCAACTTGCCAGCGGCTCTCCTTTCTCGCTTCGATTTGATGTTTTTGATTCTGGACAAACCATCGAGAGATGAGGACGAACGGCTGGCGCAGCATGTTACACATGTGCATATGCACGGACGACATCCCGAACTTGAGTTTACGCCGGTCGAGCCGACGTTGATGAGGTGCGTCCCCGGGATTGGCGAATAGGATGAAACTGACCTGTCTATAGGCACTTTATTGCTCAAGCACGGCAACGACGGCCCGTGGTTCCTCAGGGCGTGTCGGAATATATCGTCCAATCGTACGTCCGCCTACGAAAAGAGCACAAGGAGCAAGAGGAAGAAAACAAGACCCATTCCTACACGTCGGCTCGAACGCTGTTGGCGGTACTTCGGTTAGCGCAAGCGCTCGCCCGGCTACGGTTCGCGGACGTGGTTGAATCCACCGACGTGGACGAGGCGCTGCGGCTAATGGAAGCGAGCAAGGAGAGTTTAGAGGAGCGTACTGAGGACGGTGGTGAAGGCGACCGTACGGCGACGAGCAGGATTTTCAGGCTGATGAAGGGAATGGCGACACAGCCTACTCGAAGGAGGCTAGGCCGTGGACCGGGCGGAGAACGTAATATGGACGTGGACGAGGATGATGAGGGCAGTGAGATGATGCAGGTCGCTATGGTGGATTTGCGTGCGCGGGTGCTCGCCAAGGGGTTCACCGAGACACAGCTTATGGATACCATCCAGCAGGTCAGCCAATTTCGGTATCACTCTGGGACTTCAGCTGATGTTCTGCCAACAGTACGAGGCTATCAACATTATTACCCGATCGGCAAATGAGCAATTTGTACGATTTGTGGACGTAGACGAGGAGTAAAAGCGGTGGTCGTGATGTACATAAGGGATATTTTTGTAATTGGAAATTGTCGCATGTGCCTCGAATTAGTTCCCGGCTTCTTTCCCGCTGGCATCCAACGACCACCATGCGCTCGACCGGTTTCGCAGCGCTCGCCATTGCGCTCGCGCTGGGCTCATCAGCTATACCGGCACGACGGACTTACGCGACGCATACCTATTATGTTCTCCACCACGACCCGGGCGCTGCAGACGTGTCCTCCGTCGTTGCCGCACTTGGCGCCGAGCTCGTCGAGCAGGTCGGGGAACTTGCAGATCACTGGCTCTTGCGCGTACCGAAACAACATGATCGAGTTATGCACAA